TTTTTTTTGTTTCTTTACTCCCATTTGTCTTTGAGCTCCTGGCAGTGTGGGGCCCATCCCTCCCTTGATCAGATTTGATCATTATCCCTGCATGTAAGGAAGGAAGAGGAGTCTTGATGATGTGGCAGCAGAGGTTTGGCCACCCTTTGTCTACAGAATTTCATCTTCTTGCAGAAAAATGTGTTTAGAATTCCTCTCAGGGGAGCTCTTGGATACAAAATACTTCTTTCACTGGTTTGCAAACTGATTTCTCTTTTTCCGTTGTAGTTTGTAGGTAAAGGGAAATGGCTTAACATAGCGATATGGCCCCTAGCCAGCTACACCTCCCTGTGCCCTGCCAAGGGAGAAGGGTAGTTTTTTTCCCTTGTGCCAGACTAACACTGTGCAAAGCTATGAGCCAGGCTTTGATGTTTCTCCTGTAGGGACTGGCATGGATTAGCAAGTACAGACTTAACTTGGGAAATGGGGCAGTGAATTTTCTGCCCGTCTCAGCTTTACCTGTCCCTTTTTACATGACGTGGGTTGGAGCATACAGGAGTAACTCTCTTCACTGGATGTTAAGCACTAATACTTGCCTTCTGCTCCCCAGCTGGAGGCTAGCAATTTAATGTACCTTAACGTAATGTGACTGAAGCCATAGAATCACAATCAAATGGAGAAAATCCTTTTAGTGCCTTTTTTTGGTATCTGCTTCTAATACAGCGGTTGGAATAAGGACAGCTGTTTGAACACAAGCAATAAACTGAGATGAGTGTGACACTGTGTCTATGTGTGACTTGGGGGGGGGGGGGGAAGAGATGCTGAAGGATCTTCCCTCCCACCTCCGAACTTCATGAAGGATGATAGTGTTAAAGAGACATTGCCTATATTTGCTCTTGGCTTATAGAACTGTCCTTTTGCAGCAGCAAGGTGCCAGCCAGATTCATCAGACTCATTTCAGTTGCAAAAACATGAAGAAGTAAATATGTGAGTACTGGGTAAAACTGCATGTGACATGCCTTGAAGCAAAATGACATTTTGAGAATTGCCATCCATTGCCCTTGAGTACCAGCAGAGAGAGCTGGAGCCTTCTGCCCAGTTAGGCACAGCTACAGTGAAAGGAACGGGCGCACTTGCATTTTAGTGTCTTAGAAACAGCCTTCCATTTGGATGGGTCTTAGTGTCGTAGGGTAAATCGGTGCAGCTGTTTAACAACAAATGCCTGTTCAGGGCAGGGAGTGAAGGGTAACATCTCCAGCTGAGATGGGGAGGGATCGAGCCGGGATAACCGTTAAAACCGAACTTACTGCTAGCTCCTATCGCCTGCAGGAAGAGCTTTGCAAGCTTGGAAGCTCCAAAATGTCACTTATTGAATAATGTATAAAGCCTTGCATTCAGCAATGTTTTAGCAAGAGTTTCCTTCTGAGTTACTGGTCTCATACATATTTTGTAATGGAAACAGTTAACAGGAGAGTGTTCTGGGTGAGATGTGCAAAGTAATCTTCTACTCTGCTTACAGGCAAGGCCTTCCAAATGTTAATACCATGCTTGGCATGATATTTCAAGAAATGCGTGAGCCATTTGGGATTCCCAGGTGAGCGGCAAGAAGGATCAAAGGTCTGAAAACCAGCATCTCCAGGGAGGGGCCAAATGAACTGGTTCTGTAGAGGAAAGGTGACTGTGGGAGGGTGTCAGAAGTCTTCAGGTGTTTAAAAGGTTGACTGCCAAGAGGAAGGCAATAAATTGTTCTCTGAATCCATCCAGGAGGTAATACCTGGATTATTTCATTGCAGCAAAGGATAAGTCAGTCACACAGGTGACTTTTTTTGAACTGTAGGCAAAATAAAAGACTAAATGGATTGCCCAGGAATGCAGTCCTTAAAAAGAATCTGGACAGACATCTGCCAGCAGCGGTTTAGGGGCTGCTGATCCTGCTACAGGGCATGGAAGTAAATTAGTTACCTCTCCAGCCCCCTCCCAGACCTAAGTGTAAAGATGCCTTGCAGGTCTTTGGGGATCTGGCTCATCCCCTCGCTGTGGTATATTAATGGCTATGGAGCTGACTGCAGAGACAAGGGAGTAAAACTCTGCTTCCCTGCACCCAGCTGTTCCGGCGAGATCTGAATGTTGCCTGCAGAAACACAGAAAGCATTTCTGGTGCGGGGCAGAGTGGCGGAGGGTGGAGGCAGCGGTACCTTTGCACTGCAGAGCCCGGGGCTGGCACAGCCTTTGCCCCGGAGGAAGGGGAGGGGATGAGCGAAGGCGATAGTAGGGCAAAGGCTGTGTTGATCTGAACAAAGATCTGTTGATCCCAACTCCAGCCAAGGCAGAGAGAAGGTTGGCATGCCCACTGCACTTTTAGCAAGGCCAGCAGGACTGGAAAATGTCTCCGTGCCAAGGGAGCAAACTTTTGAGCGGGCTGCTGCCCTTCGTCCCGCTGTCTGCAGAGCCGTGACTCACCACGGCGCCGAGCCGGAGGCAGCCCAGGACGTTCGGACGCTGCTGTACCCAGCTAGCAAGGCAGGCCTGCGAGCTTTGCAGGGCCCCGGGCTGGGGGCGGGCTCCAGGCTCTTTGGGAGGAAAGGGGATAATTTTCCTCCCCTGCGTGGCTTTCCCACGTCCCTGGGAAGGCTCCCGCACCCACGTAGGAGCAGCACAGCCAGGAGCAGGGAGCCGTGCGGGCGCATTGGGCGCACACTGTCGTGTCCTGCACGGGGATGCTGGGCAGCCGCACGCCAAGGGTCTCCGTGCTGGATGGTCCGAGACACGCGGCAGCCTTGTGTCAGCAGGCTGCCTGGATCTCCCATCTGCACTGATCCCCTTGGGTTATTGCTTTGTCCTCTGGCATTTGTCCTCCTTCCTCCATGCTGTCCTTGTCTCTTCAGTGCAGCTCATCCTTGATCACCGTAGTCAATAACCAAAACCCATCGCAGCTTCATGCAGGTGGTGTCTTCTTTCATTTCAATCAATACCACAAATGGGTTTGTTAATTATGATGGGAGTTGGCAGGGTGCCTCCCCCACGGCAAGGCAGGCTGGCTGCGAAAGAGCAGCAGTAGCGAGAGCATCGCTGGTGGGTCAAGGGGAGCAGTTGTTTCTCTCCATGCAGTACTTGTGAGGTTACATTTGGGGAACCGTGTCCTGTTTTGGCCCCACCAGCACAGGAGAGATTTTGACCATCTGGAGAGTCTGGCAGACGATCATTAGGAGGGTAAGACATTTAGGGGCATCGAGCACATGCCATACCGCAGGCTGGAGCACAAACTCTGCTCAGAGGTGCACTGAGCAAGGTTAAGAGGTAGCAGGCAGAAATTGCAACAGAGGAAATTCCGATTGGACATAAGGAAAAAATGGTTTATCATGAGCGTGGTTAGCACTGGAGCTGGGCCCCAGAGAGGTGGGAATTTTATCCTTGGAGATTTTTGAGACTTGACTGGATGAGACCTTGAGCAGCCTGATCTAGCTTTGAGGGTAGCCCTGCTTTGAGAAAGAGCTGGATGAGGTGACTTCCAGAGATCTTTTCCAATCTGATTTTTCTCTCGCTTCCAATCTGATTTTTCTCTCCCTTTCTGTCTACTCCAAATGCCTAGAGGTCTCCTAACGCAGTGTCTGCCCTGACCCTCAGCTAAAAGCCTCCTCACTAAAATCTTCGGTGGATTTTTTCAGAAATTGCAGACCTGGCCAAACTAGATGATTGTTTTGTGCAGGATGTGTCCTCCATGTCTGCCTTCTGCTCCTTGTGCTTAGTAAACTCTCCTGAGGAGAAACTATGTTCTTGGTCTGTGTTGTGTTTCCCAACAGGATGGGATCCTGGTCCACCATGGGTGATAACAGGGTCTACAGAAGTAGAGGAAGGTTTTATTCTCTTCCACACCCATCATCCACCCATTGTCCATAACAAACCCCGCCTAACTCTTCACCTTCTCTCTGGCTGCTCATGATCTGTTGCTTTTGAGGTGATGAGGTCCAAGGGTGAATTATTTTCACTCTTGGTGAGTGGCATTAAACCCCCGTGTATCCCAGCTATGCCGCAGCTTCTGGGCTCTGCAGGAAAGGTGATGAAGGGGATTTTCTGCCACCATCTGTTCCAAATTACAGTGGCTTCAGGGAGCTCTTTGGCCAGTTTCCACCACAACCCGCCAGCTCCCAAACTCGCGCAACTGGGAGGTGGGGCCTCGTGGTGGTAGTGGCCGGGGCACCGTTCATCGCTCTCAGAGGACCCGGGCGAAGGGACGGCGCAGCCACCACCCTCTGCTCCTGCTCTGCGGGACGGGCTGTCCCCTCGGTGAGTAGCCTGTCTCCACCGGGCGCTCTGGGGACAGCTTCAGCGGGACCGGGAGGGTGAGAGCAGGGATCACCTGCCCTCCCTAAATCTCCTGAATTTCATATGCTGCTGAGAAAAGGGGGTCTGTGCCGGGGGTGGGAGCTGGAGGTGTGCTTTTGGGTGTCACTCAGCTGGCAGCAGTGGAGATGGGTGTTTTGCAGTGCTTTTGCCCCCTGCATCGAGCTGGGGCTGCACAGGGACGGGCACTGGCATCGTGAGCTGTGGGGCAGATGCTGACCACGGCTGGGCAGCTCACCGCATCCCTACCTGCAGCTCCTCTCTCTGCTCCTGTCCTGCCTTCTTACCCCTTCTCAGCCCACATCTCGCCCTGGCTCCCGTGCACGTCTGTTAGTATCCTGGTTGCTCTGAGTTTGCCTTACAGCTCTGACAATGCTCTTTATCCTGCCTTGTACCATAGCTCCTCCAAACTAGATGCCTCTCAACTAAGTTTTTGATTCTTTGGGTGTTAAAACTCACTAGCAGGGGAGGGCTGTGTGGAGTCATTGGTTTTACAGCTTAATTGGTAAAAAGTCAAGCGTTGGGCAATGCCGCATCCATTGCACCCATGGGAGTTGCATGTCTCAGCCCAGCTCCTGGCCCTGCCATGCTCGGGGGGTGTGAGGGGAGCCCGAGCCCAGCCCTGCCTCCACAGCGGGGTCTGCGGCTCCCAACTTTGCTTTGCAGGTGGGTGCGTCACGATGACAGCGAAGAAGAATCAGACTCTGCAGAATGGAAGTGCCAAGGTGGGTGCGGGAAGAGGCAGAGAGGGCAGGGCAGAGGTGAGCCAAGGGCACCAGGTAGCTCGTACCGGCTCTGCCGGATGAGTACAAGTCACACCTGACGCTGTCCCCCTGTTACCTTTATATGGATCTTTAGCTGCAATAATATAGAGCATCATCAAAGGGAAAGGATAAAACCTTTTGCATGCCTGAAATTAAATAGTTTAGAACAAAGAGAGTTAACCCTGGGCGATGCAAGCGCTCGGCGATACCTGCCAGCCGTGCCTGTCCTTCGTCTGTGTCCCCACTGTGGAGCCCAGAGCTCCAGCAGTCGCGCTGCTGCGAACAGCTGGAGCCCCCGGGATTGCTGGACTGCGGGACTTGTGAGAGGGCTGGCTGCACGTCAAGCCAAAATTAGCACCGTACAGCACAAAGCAATATAGTTTTTATCAAACATGCAGATTCACCATCCAGTCCTGGTCACAAGTGGGACGTGAAGCCAAACTCTGCCTCTCACCCACTGGTGATCAGGGGAAAGCTCAGCTTTTTGTTCTGCTCTGTCCCATGCAACCCAAAGACCACTTGCCTCATGGCTGCTGTGATGAATCAACGTTTGCCCCATTCGTCCCTTGGGGCTGCAGTGTCTCGCTCGGTCGTCTCGCCTCGCCAGGTGGGCACCAGGCAGAGCAGGAGCAGAGGGCTGGAGCTGCAGCTTTACCCTGCTCACCCGGCTTTGAGGGACCCGTCTCCAGCCGTGCTCTGGCACTGGCAGCACACATAGGTGTCAGCTGTGCTGGTTTATACTGGCATCCCACGTCACTCGTGTTAGCAGGGTGTGGGGACACGGTGCCTTGCTGCCTCGCATTGCTCTAGTGCCCTCTTCTTCAATGGCACCTGCCAAAGCTCTTTGTGCCATCAAGGACAGACCCACTCCTCTCCCTTCTCCTTTTTGAGGTCCGTATCCCTCACTCGTCACGGTGGTGACAGGACAGAGGTGACACATAGGCAAAATGGACTTTGCTGGTCCGAGGACAGGAGCAAGGGCTGGGTCAGATGGAATAAGCAGCAGAGCAGGGTGGAAAGCCAGAGGGAGCGGCTGGACAGTCGGGCATGGGCGGTGAGGGGAGTGGGGACCATCGCCCCTCCAGCACTGCCTGTCGTGTCCCTGCTCCTTCAGCAGCCAGGCTGCTTGTCCTTGGCTGTGCTGTACACGACATAGCTGGGAGACCCTCGATGGGGTTTGAGAAATGCCCTCCTCCTCCAGCGTGAGCTGAGGTCCTCTGCGGTCACTGCAACACACCAAATGCCACCTGCATGCAGGCGACGGGGCGTTCCTTGGGGAACGGCTGTTGGCTGACCAATGCCCGTCTGCCACGTGCAGGAGAACGTGCTGCAGAGGGTTCTGCAGCTGCCGGTGGTGAGCTCGACCTGCGAAAGCCTCCAGCGGACCTACACCAGCACCAAGGAGGCCCACCCGCTCATGGCCTCCGTGTGCGAGGTCTATGAGCGGGGCGTGCAGGGTGCCAGTGCCTTGGCCATGTGGAGCGTGGAGCCCGTGGTGCGCAGCTTGGACCCTCAGTGTGAGTCCATCCACTGGGGGGGTCATGGCAGGGGGGAGGCACCAGAGCCTCCCTCGGTGGGACAGCACCTGCGACCCCCTAGCACTGCCCGGGAGATTTTCTTACTAACCCACCCCCCATGCTTTTGCCCAAGGCAGTCGCTGTGGCTAACAACCTGGCTTGCCGGGGCTTGGACCACCTGGAGGAGAAGATCCCTGCCCTCCAGTACCCCGTCGACAAGGTGAGTCACAGGCGGGGCAGCCTGGCACCCCCCCGCCCCCCTGCAAAGGCCCGGTGGGCTCCTCTGGTCTCATTTCTGGATGGTGAGAGGCTGCTGAGGGGAGAACGGGGCAGCACCTCCAAGCGAGGACTCTTCCAGGGGCTCCTGCAGCCCAGGAGATGGTTGGGGCACTCCAAATATAGGTCAACAGCATCCTATGTCCCATCCCTGCCAGCCCAGGCTGGAGAGAACAGTTATGCTCCTCTTGGGGCTGTCTGCTGGCATGGCCATGGCTGGGGTCCCCGCCGTGGTCCCTCTGGCTGTCCCATGCCACCCCAAGCACACCAGCAGGGCTGTTCTCCATCTCTCCACCTGCAGCTTGCATCTGAACTGAAGGGCACCATCTCCTTCCCACTCCAAAGTGCCAAAAGCACCATTGGCAACTCTGTGGATAAAATCATGGAGCTGGCGGCCGAGGGCTATGAAGCCACCAAGAGCACGGTGGAAACAACAGCAAAGTACACAAGGAGGAACTCAGTGAGCCAGATGGCAGCTGCAGGGGTCGACACGGCCCTGGGAGGGCTGGAGAAGCTGATGGAGTACCTGCTGCCAGAGGAGGATGAAGAAGCAGGTAGTCCTGATGCCCAAATCCCCTCTGAGGGTGGCTGGGGAGGGCTGGCTGTATATGGCACCTTGCTCGTGGGGTGCACGTGGCAGGAGGACGCCCCTGCATTTTGGTGCAGAGCTGCCTAGGAGGGTTGTCCCACCAGGATGCAAACCCCCCCACCGCTCTTTTTTTTCTTCTGCCTTTAGATCAGAAGACCAAAGAGACGCATGGGTCAGCAGTAAAGGTCTCCCAGCAGCAGCCCAGCGCTCCCAGCACTCCCAGTGCTCCCAGCACCCTGGGCCGGATTGGCGTCTTGGTTAGCACCATCTCCCACCGTGCTTACCAGCAAACAACCCAAAGCCTCCAGCGTGCCAAAGCCAAAGGGCAGGAGCTGGCCACCTGGATCCCCATCCTGGTGAGTGCCAAAACCCATCTGCCAGGTTCCTGCTCCCCCATACCTTCTCTTGGGCTGATCCTGGTTTTGGATGAGACATTTCAGGCTCCTTGGAGCACATCTGAGAGCAGAGTGGTGGGCGCTGCTTGTTCCTGGGCTCAGCGGGGCAAGCCGGGGCTGGTGGTTCCCGTGGCACATTCACACACAACCTTGTACTGTGTTGGCGGGACAAGTTATTTTTAGCTGGCTTGCAGTGTATAATGTTGATTTATGGCATTGCCATAACATCCTCCCTAAAGCAAAAAGCCCCCCTAGAGGATGGGGAGAAGGAGGCACCTCTCCTCTCCCACCCAGCGCCGCAGTGGGAACACCTTCCCTGGGTGTGCCGAAATCCTGGGGCTCCCATCTGCCCTCAGGATTTCTTCCCACACGCATAAATGAACCCCACTACTCCCTGCGCACCCCAGGGCCCCTGTGAAATCCTCAGGCTAAGCAGGATGGGGTGGATGGGACCTGCCAGCCCCCCGCATGCAGTGGCTTTCTGCTCCCCTT